CTGTGCCACTTATCATCTGGTCCATATCCCCTCCTCAGCCTCACCTCCAGACACAAATACTCGAGCCAGACTTGGCCACATCCTGTCCTCCCACATGCATAGGGACCTTGCATGCATCTGGGCTTGGCACACACTGCTCTCCTGCCGAGAGCTCAGTTGCTCTGTCAAACCTCTCCCTGCCACCCTGGTCTAAATCTGCTTATCCTGTTGGCTTGTGAGGACTCCATTCTTGCACCATTGTTTCAGCCTTGAAGCCTCCTCTCTCTCCCCTCCACCTCCTACCGCTCCTGGCAGGGCTAGGAGCCGCTTCCTGAGGCTCGCAAGCTCTCTGCGTCTCTGTTGGAGCACTCTTTACTCTGACTTTTCATCGTGTTTACCTCACCTGTCTGCCCCGACCAGACCATGAACACCTTAGATGGAGACTGTGTTGTCCTTATCTCTGTGGTCCCAGTTCTCATTTGCAATCACCTCTGTGGGTCACTTACCCTCTCTGGGCACAAGTGTCCTCTTCTGCCTATAAAGTGGCCTTACTCATCCTCAAGGTTCTGTCTTTCCCAGATATTCTGTGACTCAGTCAGCCTGGACTTTCAACTGAGCAGCTGGACACTACACTTGAGCATGTCACAAGCCTGGCAGAGACACCCCCAGATGGTGTCCTCCTCTCCCAGGTGCACGGCACAGCAGCCGCGGCCCACACATCTGAGAAGGACTGGGCAGGACACAGCGCTTTCTACTGCTTTCCTCCTCCCACCCAGAAGCCTTTCCTGATCTAAGCCAATTTCTGGAAGTTTATTCCTGCTCCACCTAAAAGGAAGAGCACTGGAAGGAGACCTAGCAATTACCTCTAAAGGCTCTGGCACTAGATGAGTCTCACATTGCTTTGGATCTTGTTCTAATGTAGCCCCCCACCCAGGAAAGCCCCCAACTCCCAATCTTTGTGGCCCCACCCCAGGCCTAGCTATCCATGAGTCTGCTCAGAGGACTCCAGGCCCATCTCCTCTCCCTCTTCCTCCTCCTGCACTTGCTGCCTGCACTTCACACTTGGTCTCTTGGTCACATCATGCTCTGGGCACTCAGTTCTTTCCATGTGTCTTCTCTGCCCCACCAGATTGCAAGCTCCATGAGGGACAGGACAACAGTGGCTAATACGGAGATGACCCATCACTGTAGGAGCAGAGGGTGTGCTGTCATTTCAATAAGTGTACTCACCAGGCTGGATGCCGTGACTTCACTGCAAGAAACTCCCTTAGGGCTAATCAGGAAGTGGTCTTGCTCCTTACTGACTCTCAACTGGAGGAAAGACACACATTGTCAGGGACAAGGAAGGAGAGGAGACATTTACAAGGACATTGCTTGAATCCCCTCTTCGCCTGAATCCACTGCGCCCAAGTCTTCCTCCAATGAACCCTTATCTCTCCCCTCACCCATGAGTGATCAAGAGGACTCAGCCTTTATTTGGAGCTGGGGAAATGGAGCTACAAAAGGAATCTCACAATGATCAAGGATAGCTCTAGATATAGGATCTGGTAGTTCCTGGTCCCCATCCAAATAAGTGCCCACTGGGCAGGCTATTTCAGTGACCACAATGGTTAGAAATCTTGGGAAGGCCCACTGCATTTTGGTCAAAGGCTACCAGGCAGTGACATGGCCATGCCAAGGGTCAGGTGTTCTCCCTTTGGATTCTGTGGGGGCCCCATGCAGTCCCCCACCACTCCAAGGGGCTCTCCTCACCGTGACATAGGTGTCACTCAGTTGGGCCCAGCCATAGAGGTCCAGGAGCCGGTAGACGCTGCTGATCTTGCATCGCATGAGCCGCTCCCCCTTGGCCAGGTTCAGGGAGTCAGCAGTGTGGAGGTCATTGATAGGTGTCATCATGGAGAAGTCTGCAGGGGACAGGGTGGGACAGTGCAGTTCTCTGAGGGGCAGGGTCTCCCATCTGACCACCCCTTGCTTGCCCATGCCTCTCCAAATTCTCAGTGGCACTACACTGCACAAGACACTTGTCCAGGCAAGGGATTAAACACTCTTTGACCCTTCCTCAGGGGGAGATAGTCCATTGAATGGAAATTTGTACCCAGTAAAGTCCTCTGCTCATTCAGGTAAGAACAGCATTGCTTTTGGCCAAAAATCATGGCATGACTAAAGGCCACAGAGTAAAGAGCTCTTGGAATGCTAAGCTTCCCATAAATCCTATAAAGATGAACACTGAATGAAAACAAGAATAAATTTCTGAATGGAAATATGGGCATATTTCATGAGTTAGTTTTAGTGAAGAAGTTACTCGTCCTTAAACCTGCTATTATTGTGTTGTTCTAACTACACCATGTAATAGAACTTCTGTGATTTGGAAATAGGGCAAATAGAAAGCCAACTCAGCCAGGCAGTAACTTCTTGAGCTTTTATGATGACCCACAGAAGTCCACATGGCTGGGTTTGGCTGAGGGGCCTGAGGCCTCACACAGGGCACATCTGCTCCTCTCAGCATAAGCAGTGCCTTGGTTATATGATGGCTCTTTCTGGAATTTTTTTTTTTTTAAAGATGACCGGTAAGGGGATCTTAAACCTTGACTTGGTGTTGTCAGCACCACGCTCTCCAAAGTGAGCTAACTGGCCATCCCTATAGAGGGATCCAAACCCGTGGTCTTGGTGTTATCAGCACCACACTCTGCCACGTGAGCCATGGGCCAGCCCTTCTTTCTGGAATTTTGGAGCAATGTGGAAAGGATTTGGAAATGGGCCTAGAAGGTTTGATAGCCTTGTCCTCAAGGCACCCAAAGTGTTTGGGAGTTGACATCCAGTCTCTCCCGTTAACCATGATGACTTCCTCCTATGCCTTTGGAAGGCAGAAGAGGGCATGTGAGCACCAGTACATGGACTAGTCAATGTCTAGGAACCAATAAAAGAATCAGTAGAGCAGGATTCTGGCTTAAAATGATGTCTGGTTGGGAGCTTCCTGATACTGCCTTTCCCAGCTCCCCACTAAAAACTTTAATGGATTAAAGTGCTCTTCAGAAGCTTTCCTCATTTCTGTAAGTCTCTCTGCTACACAATGTGATGTATGTAGCAGGTTTGCCATTAGATAAAACAATGAGACAGTCTGTAAATGTGAGGGCAGATTGGGTGCTGTGGGCCAACATCCAGCAAGCACAGCACCTTGAAATCCCCCAGTGTGGAGTATACTATAAAACAAATGTATTTTACAGGGCCTGGTTTTCCAGAGCCCTGCAGTTTCAGGTTTAGCCTAACTTCTTAAAAGTACATATAAAAATGTTGACCTTGCAAAAGACAGGAAATTTTCCCCAGGCTAAAAGTCTCTGTTGTAAGATAAAGAATTGTAGCACAGCAAGGTTGCTGGCTCAAGGACAGACAAGTTACTGATTAATATGTACAGATACTGGGAAATTGCTGTGAGGAGAGAGAATGTTTGCTAAGATCAAGCTTTTGTTGGTGGATAGACTTAACCTCTTGCAAATTACACTATGGAATGTCACTTTGCTTGTTTTACTGAATTTTACCAGCCTCTATTGTTAAACTTGTTAAACTATTACCCCACCTATT